GTTTCTCCCTCCCACTCCGCTTCTTGAAAGAACACCAAGTGTCCTCGGGGTTCACTCCGAACACTGCTGCCTGGCACCACGGGGACCTGACACCCGCAAGGAACCAGCCAGTCCAGGGTCCTGCTTGATTTGCCTCCTCTCTGTTTCTTCATTATTCCTCCACCACACAGTGTCCATGCTGGGGCCGCGGGGGGCGGGGGAGGTTGTTATGGGAAATCCTGAACTTCTTATCACATTGGAGTGACCTCACACCTCTGGTTTGCATCTCTGGAACTCTATCCATTTGTTCGGTGCTGACTCGGTAAGACAAAGCGGTTGAGAGCATGGAATGTGGATCTCTCTGCATTTGAGTTTCTGTTCTGCTACTGTGTAGCTATGAAGCTTTCCCTGGTGTCAATATCCTTGTCACTGGAGTGGAAAGAATTACAGTTCTTGTTTTCAAGTCATCCCATCTCATTCCTGAGGCCTGGTCTTGTAGGTCATTGGAAAGGAAAAGAGTGGAGGGATTAAATGCTGCCGAGGTCTGTGTGGCATGATGGCTGGCGTCTTGGGGAGCGTTGTCGTTCTTAATTGTTTTAGTCACTTCTCTGGTCACTGTGACAAAATGGCCTACAAAAGAATCTTAAGGACGCCCTTGGTTTCACTGACAGTTGGAGGTGACAGACCGTCACAGTGGGAAGAGGACAGCAGGAATATGCCGCAGCTGATCATCTCATACCCACCATCACAAAGCAGGGAGATGAATGCCATGTCCAGCCCACTTTTTCATTTGTGGATAGTCTAGGGACCCCAGCCTGTGGAATGTTGCCACTTGCGTTAAGGTTAGGTCTTCCCACTTAAATTAAGCCAATCTAGAAGCTCCTTCACAGAATGATACTCCATGGATTGAGTCTCATCAAGATGACAGTCACAATGAACCATCACAGAGGATGACATTCAGATGCCATTTTACTGCCTTCCACTCAGTTCTAACCTGGACTTTGCTTTCCTTGGACTCTGCCTCTTTTTATCGCAGTATCACCCCAAGCGTTAAACAGAAGCCCAGGGAACATCTTTTGTTCACCCTTGTCTGTCTTCGGTGCTTATACCAGTGTGTTTAAGGTAACTTATTAGTCTTAGTATTTCCTAAAACAGCCTTTGTTTTTTCTATAACTACCGGCACATTTTTGGTTCAGTAGTTCCAGTTATTCCTTGACACAAACTGCCTTCGTCATGTGAGTGGTTCCAGTAGCCAGCCTAGTCTGTCTTTCAAGGCCCTCTGTAGACTGCCCTGTGTCTCTTTCCCTCCATTCTCTTCTTCCTCTTCCTCTCTACTGCCTTCTAGTCGCCCTTGCCTTTCTCCTGGCTGTTGTTTAAATCCTGATCACATGTTCTGAGCCTTCAGGTTAACGTACTACTGACTTTTCTCTCTTCCATGAATGAATTATATTTTTTGAGTTTTCAAAGGTCTAGAATTTTTTAATTATACAGCAACATTTTAAAATAATTTACTAACAACTCCTATGGCATATTACTTTATATTCTTATTTTTCACTCAAAAATTTTATTCACATCATGACCAATGTTTTGAAAGCTATGTGACTGTTTCTCCAAAAATGTGTGTGCATAAGGATGGTAGGACAGTGAGTCCAAGGGTTAGTCATTTCGTCCTGTTATTGATAGCTCATAAAAGAATCACTTACCTGAAAGAGTTCTCTAAGTCATAAGATATAGTTTTGGTCTGATCCTATTCAATTTATTTTAGGATATGAAAAAGGATAAGCTGCTGTAGAACACAAATCAAATTGAAGTGGGGGTGAGAGAGGGATGGAAGAGAAAAATAATTGCTAATACTGCTGGATTCTGTGTATAATTTAGCGCTTTAAATATTAAGTAATCTTTTATATTGATCATAACTATTTCCTGAATACAGGGAGAACTATTTTCATTCTAAATTTATAACATTTTTGGAAGTTTAATTATCATACTTGAAGGTCAAATGGTGCTTTATTGCAATAAAATACAAAAAGTAATAAAGAAATTATTCCTGGGGAGATGAAAGTCTCGGATCATAGCTCATTAAATACTAACTTCACAGACCATGTCTAATTTGTCATATTTAGCTTTGAAAATTTAATACATTAGAATTTCAAATTAGGTGAAAAGATACATGAGACAAAACTACCTAGGGCCTTTGAATTCCAAAATGATTTAGGATGTAAAGTTCTGGTAGCCTAATGCCTAAATTTGTATAAATTACCTATCAGTGTGTGTGTGTGTGTGTGTGTGTGTGTGTGTGTGTGTGTGTGTGTGTGTGTGTGAATATATATTGCTCACCTGATTCAAAAATGGTCTTAAGCACTCAGTGGTGTTAACAGACAGCTCAATTTCAGATTTCTTTTTTCTTCTCAAACATTGAGGACTTCATTGTGCTGAGTACTTCACTCAATAAATTGGCCGGAATTTATTAGTGCTGCAGTGTTGTGAGTCCCATGTTGACTTAAATCTTTCCTCGAAAACAAGCCATTGATTGGTAACACCTTTGTCAAGAGGGGATTAAGTACAATCTCGTTTTCCCTAGTATGCCTAGGCTACTGTGACTGTGTGAGATTTTGGTAGGCCCAAGCTTTAAAAGAGTATGAGCAAATTTCAATTCTTGATTTTCACTCTGCATTAAGTGGCTCAGTTTTCTTTCCCTCTTTTGAGTGGCCATAATTCCCTAATGGATACCTAGTACAGAGCTTCCTCCTAACTCTAATTCAGCCTTGTCCAATGGAAATATGTCAGCTTATGTGTAATTTTAAATCTACAGCGGCCACATGCAAGAAACAAAAATAAAATAGTTAATTTATTTAACACAGAGAAAATGTAAAATATTAAACATTTCAATATAACATAGACAATATAAAATTGTTAGTAAGATATTTTACATTATTTTTTCTTGTGCTAAGACTTGAAAATCTGGAATATATTATATATGTGGAATGCATTTAAATATTAAATATCTGGCTTATTTAAGATTTTATAAATTTGCAGTTAGAAGTAGCATTACATGCCTGCCTGTCCTTAGCTTCTTAAAAGTCTTCAAAAACTGGATTGAGTATCCAAAATGCTCATTTTCCTTTATATTCACATATTGACAAAATCTGTTCATTTTTATGAGAGTTTATCTAACGTTGGCGCAAAGCATGCGTATATGTCAATACTGTGTACAAATAAATTCTTTTATTTTTAGCAATCTAGTATTGTGAATATGTAACTTAGAGTGATACTGTACAAAATGAAAAGCAACTGTAGTATTATTTAATATAACAGGAAGAAGCTATGATTGATATCTAAGGTTTTGCAGACAGTTTAGATAACACTGGGACTTACACGTTAAAATCTAACATTCATTCACATACAGAAATGTGCAACATCAATACATTTCTAGTTTATTTTATTTTTTTGCATGCGTGAGTGGTATATGCTGGGATGTGGTGGCCAGAGACCCACAGTGGTCCTTCCTCGACCCTCGCCTTATTTTGTAAGATAAGATCTCTCACTGAACCTGGAGCTCACTCTTTCTGCTGCACTGGCTGTTCAGTGAGTACCTGGGGCTGCCGACCTCTGCCCTCCAGTGCTGGGATTACAGATATGCACCACCACCTGTGGCTTTTCCTAGGGCTGTTGGGGAGCCTAACTCAGATTCCCATGCTTGTTCAGCAAGGGCTTGACCCACTGAGCCATTTTCCTAGCTCTCTACATTCTAGTTTTCAAGGCCATTGTCATAGAACACACCTGTAACCCCAACATTTGATCGCTGTAAGTTTGAGACCAGGGTGGGCTACATAGTGAGCACCAGGCCACCTTGGACTATAGAGTGAGACCCTGCACACCAGAAACAAATTCAGTTTCAACACAGATTCTTCCACTTCTCCAGCTAGCTTGCAAGTCAACTATTCCTTTCTTGGAAGCTTTCTGTTCAGCCTATTCATATGCAGTGTGACATGGGAGAACATGCATCAGTGTGCCATAGTCTGTCTTTGATTTTTGGATATTTGGCAAATATTCCTTTTGTTTGGAGAAAAACCTAGATTCAGAGAGTTAATTCAGTGAGCCATTGTGGGACCCCTGCAACTTGGTCAATAAGTATCAACATAAAACACAAAATCTTTAAATGTGTTATGTTCCATTTTGTAAGAGTTCCACAAATGGCTTTAACAAATTTAATCATGGTACTCTCCATAGAATCTACTGTGTGCACATGTGCATGTGTGTGTGTGGTTTTTTTTCAAGATGTGGTTTCACTATGTAACCCTGGCTGTCCTGGAACTTGCTTTGTAGACAGATTAGCCTAGAACTCAGATCCACCTGCCTCTGCTTCCTGAGCGCTGGGATTAAAGGCATGCGCTACCATGCCCAGCTTAGAATCTATTTTTTAAAAGCACACACAAATATATTCAGTATATTACATGTTAAGCTGAAGCAATATGACACTCACCAGTCTCATTTTAAAATACTGTTAATTCTGGATTCTTAGTCTGGCATAACTAAGCCACTGCCCATTGTGAGAGAAATTGATTTTTCATGTCTAGTTGAAATTATTCTTTGAAAGTTAAAAAATACTTTTGAGTACATGTATCATGACTCCTACACTTAGGTAGTGAATTGACATTTCCTCAGATTTGGAAATCATTGTGGCATGGTGGAAATGACTGTCAGCAATTTGAACTGGGCAGGGTCCTATGAGACAGGGTTTCTATGTAGCCCCATCTGTCCTGGAACTCACTCTGTAGACCAGACTAGCCTCAGAGTCACAGAGATCCGCCTGCCTCTGCCTCCTGAATGACTGGGACTAAAGGTGTGCGCCACCATACCTGGCTTAGCATTTCTTTTCTTAGTCCTGCAGAGTAAAAAGTCCCTTATCATGTGATGTATTTCATGTGAGCTTGGTTCTGTTGCTGCATTTGTGGTTGCTTGTCACTGATTTTGCTTCTATCACAAATCAGTCATCATTCTCTGTTCTTCTTTTGTTCCAGCTCCCACAGAAGCCAGTGCTCAGTCTCACCTCGGTAAGTATATAAGACTCTGATGCCATTAGCTTAGTACTTGGTCACCTTGCCCCTCCCCTTCTGGCTATATGGGCACATGCTGTGGAGTGGAAACTTCCAACTCTCTGGTTCTCTGACCTTCACTGGGGTCACCTAGACTCAGGTTCCGATGGTGCTGGAGCAGAGGTCCTCCCAGGGAAGCCAGATTTCATTATAGATGGTTGTGAGCCACCGTGTTGTTGCTGGGAATTGAACTCAGGACCTCTGGAAGAGCAGTTGGTGCTCTTAACCTCTGAGCCATCTCTCCAGCCCAGCACCCTCATTCTTAAAATCCTGTTCAGTGCGACCTTATGGCTGAGTGTCCAAAAGCTGAGTTTCTCCAGAGCACCTGCCCATCGTATCAGAGTGCAGAGGCAGGAGCCTCAGGTGTGGACAGAGTGGGCTCATTTTAAACTTAAGATTTCTGCTCAAGTTCTTAGGTTGAAGTGGGCAACCATTCAGTCATTTCTTCTGGTCTAGAGGGAGCTTTTAAGTGGTTACTTTCTTTAAAAAAGGAACCCATGGTTTCTAGCAGTGCCATGTACTCTGTGACCCCATCTCTTCAAGGCAAGGCAATGGGATGGTTAAAAGCACAGATTCTGGAGTCAAACTGCCTGTTTATCCTATCTTCACCATTGCTATAAGTTATGACATTGATCAAGTAACCTGTCTGTGCCCACATGTAAAATAGAATCGATAATAACAGTAACTACCTCACTGGTTGGTATGTGGATTAAGTGAAATTTCAAATTATATAGTAAAAGGTGTCCTAGTATCTGGTAATAAATAAATATAAAATGTGTTTATTCACTAAAGCTAACCTAGGGGATTGTCTCTAGAAAACAAGTAACCATTAAGAGTTAAATTTGTCATGTTGTGCCAGTGAAGACTTATTTTAAAAAGCAATTTCCGACCCTTCGTAATTTAATAAGAGTGAAAGGAATCCTCTTTGCTGGTCCCAGTACTTCCAGGCATCTCTTACTGTGGGGCCTCAGAGAGGTCCATTATTTGTCTCTTGGGCTTTTCCTTTCAACCTACAAACCCAATTAATTTATTTTTCTCTTTGGAAAATCTGCCTTGAGAAGCTCTGCTTTTATGTAATGCTACAGCTTGGGGCTCCTCTTGGCAGCTGAACATAACTGCTTAGAAGCATGCCTTCTGGCAGCCACGACAGGCTGGTGACCCACAGTGGTGCAGTGGTGTCTTGGCCAAGCTGTGACCTGAGAGAGCTGTACCCTGTAGGCATGTCAGACACCACATCCAAGTGCTCAGAGGGATCATTAAATCACCCCCATGCTCAGAGCCATCACTAGGTTCTCTCCAGTGGATAGCCACTTTCTCCCTGTTCTCATGCCTCAGGCTTCGAGGAGGAACAGCCAGTCCTCCTAAGTACATGCTGATTTGCGGGTTTCCATGACTTCATTATATGCTTGCCTGCTGGCATACCTGGTATTCAGGGGGTGCAGACTGCCATAGGTAGGATGTCACCAAAGAGAATTTGAAATTATCTTCCCTGATATTTGGAAGAGATTTTAATTACCCAGTGAGTTCAGAGAATTGTGTGACTGAGCCCCTAAAAGCAGAAAATATCAACTTTGAAAAACATAAAATTTGTTAAAGGGTCTCTGTTAGTCACATGATATGATTTTAATTTTTCTGAAAACTAACTACATCAAACAAAATTGTAAGGAAAAGACCCAGAGGATTCCCGTTAGCCAAAACTTCCTGCACAAGCCCCAAAAATCTGATGAGAATGTTGTTAAAGCAGTCATTAATTTCTCCTTTTGCACTTTGAACACACATCATCGCTGGCTATGGAATCATTTTTTTCCTTTGCACACCCTCTTTCCAGAGCAAGTAGGCACTCTACAGTTTTTGAAGATGTTCTTTGGCTTCCCCAAATCCTAATGCTTAAAAATAAGTGTTGAATACAACTGCAAGGTAGTGCTACTACTATATTTACCACCGTGGCTGGCACCCTAGCATTCTCCCTGATTTTTAAATTGACTCTGTAGTTTTATGTATAGATAATATTTTCAGTGCAACTCAGATGGTTAGTAATTCAGCTAAGTTAGCAATTCAGAGCATACTAAATGAATAATGAGTGAATGTGAGGAGTTCTAAAAATCAAGCCAGGCCAATAGGGCTGACCAGAAGGACAAGAGAAAATGCCTCAGAAGACTAAATGGTAGCTGTTTTTGGCTACAGTAAATAGCCAGAATTCTCCATCCTATTCTTCCATGCCTTAGTGAGCAGAAACAGGTCTGCCCAGGCTGTATCTTGGTAGACATGATATGGGTCAGGAATGAGTGACGAGCTCTGTGTAGCCTCTCTTCACTTTGGTCTTCCTGCCTGTGACCACTCAGTTTCTTTTTGGGAACTCTGGGTTTCAGACTTCAAGAAGTGTAAACAGCAAGGCCTTCATCCTCAGCATTTACTGACAGAGAAACTATAACTAACTGCTTATTTAAAAGTCAGTTTTAATTTAAAGTATGGCTATGTTTCGTAGATGCAGCATGTTAACACACATAATAGCTAAATTCCCCTCCATAGTGTAAAATTCTTCTCTAAATTCTTTCTCTCATAGCTGAAATACACAGTGACAGTGTGATCCTACGGGATGACTTTGACTCCTACCACCAACTGGAATTAAATCCTAATATATGGTAAGTTACAGGGATGGGTTGTATTTTGATTGGAGAAATGATTCTGAGTTCATTTAAAGAAAAACTTTTCTCCCTCAAGGGTCAGTTACCGAAAATTCACTCGCTCTTGAGCACTAATGTGTTAATGAGAGCCGTTAACTATGGCACAGACGTGTACACAAGCTGCAGTGTCCATTTGTTTCGTCTTTAAAATTGAATGTAGGTGTTCTTCCAACCCCCGAGTGTGGTTGGATGGATATTTAGATTTATAAAATTTTCATATTTTATTCTAGTTTATTTTTCTGTTGCTGTAATAAACACCATGATCAGAAGGAAGTCGGAGGAAGGAAGGGCTTATTTAAGTCCACACTTCCAGGTTCGTCACTGAGGGAACTCGGGTTAGGAACCTGGAGTGGGACCTGAAGCAGAGACCGTGGAGGAACACTTCTGACCAGCTTGCTTCCATGATCCTGTTCAGCAGCTTTAAATAGTGAGGCTGCCTGCCTAGGGGTGTCCAACATCGGCTGGGCTCGTATACATCAGTTACCAGTGAGAGCTGCCCACAGGTCAATGTGGTGGAGACAGTTCTTCAAGGAAGGTCCCTCTTCCCAGCTGTGTCCCATGACAAGATTAGCCATCACGTATATACAATATCATGCTGCAATGTTTCTAATAATTATTGCTGAGTAGAAGAAGGAAGATGTTTTATCTGAAATGACAAATGGTTTCATCATAAATTGTAATAATCTCTCATATTAGCTCTCCTCATTATCTACACCCCAGTCTTGCTTTAGAAGGCTTTTAAGTATAAATTCCAGGGATTTTGAGAACAACAAAATAATGAACTCCGATTCAGTCTTTAGAAATTTTGTATATAGTTTGAAATCTAAATGTGTTGGCTGTGTGTTATATTTTTTGCTGACCTTAGAATAGGTCTGTCAATCCAGATCTTTTTGAAGACTCTCTGAATTTCGGGCTTTTTGTTATGTTGTATATGATTGTGCAAATAAAAAGGAGTTCAAAAAATGATAAACTTCGAACATGGAATGAAAGCCCAAGCAATAACAATACTCAAAATTAGAAAGCAGATGACCCTGTTACCTCTGAATGTCAGCATATGAAATCACTCTGCTGTTTTGTTTATTTTTACTGTTTTAACAAATATTTTAGTGGCACAATCAGTTAGCATGTTGTACTCACACAAATACTTAACAGTAATTATTTAAATGGGATTTCTTTTAGAAGTTGCATTTCTTTCAAGTAGATAATAGTTCAATGATGATGTAGAGACACATCATTGAGAAGTTAAACATTGTGGACAGGGATACTTAAATGTAATAGTATGGGACCCAGAAGAGGATTCTCTGGGGAAAATCCTAATATAAATGTCTTGAAATAAATAGAAATTTGTATTAAGAAGAGGCAAAAAGCAACAAAAAAATATTTTAAGTAACTTTGTCTGACCAAGAAAACTTCTCCCTTTTCTCTTGACATTTATCTCTCTGCATTCCACTAATATAGATGTTAGCAGATGATTTGTTTATTTCAAGGAAAGTTCATTTCTGTCAAGTTAGCTCATCGTCTTCAGTTTTCTTGACAAATACAAAATGTGACTTTTATGCGAGTCAAAATCTGTTGTTTTTTAAATCAATGAAATGTGATTGATTTTACTTCAACCATTTTCATGATTAATTGGGTATGATCTTTCCTGGCCAAAATTATGGATTTTATGTCTCTTTTACTTATGCTACCATTTTTCCACTTTTTGACGCTTCCCCTTTTAACCTTAGAACCAGCACTTTTCCAGCCATGCTGCTGAGCACGCTCACCCCTGCCGGCTGTTGCAGCCCCGTCACTCGGCTCCTTTAAGAAAACATGGGCCATGGCGCTCCTATTTGAGAAGGCATTTTATGAAACTAGAAATGGCAGTCTCTGAGATCAGGCCAGTCTGGTTTAACTTCTGAACATGTAGCTTGCTAACTCAGCACCCTGAAAAAAATAAAGAGCTCCCTTCTTTCTGGGACCCCCATTTCTTGCAGCAAAAATGAGGCATTGAGAAGTGAGGGAGTTCTGCTACCACGCCCAGGCATGACAGGTGTGCGTAAAAGTTTCTTCCTCTCCCAATTCATGCCCCTCTCCTCCCTCTTCCCTTTCTTTTCCCCCCTCCTCCACTTCTTTTTTCCTTGCTTTCCTTCCTATCCATCTGCCATATCCTCCTCCCATACTCCTCTTCTTTCTGTGATGGTGTTTCTACAATGGACTATATTTCTTCTAAACCCAGACACCAGTCTTAAAGATGACCTTAATCCATTTACTTGAGTCCTTCTGTCTTCTGTATCACATTTGCATAAAAACAAACATCAAATTAAATATACCTACGTTGCATTCTCTGTGGATGCAATGAAAATGGAGTGATAATGTGCAGAATCACAGGTAAGGACAAAGAGTATCTCCAGGCAGCTAGGACCCCTTAAAAATAAACATAAGCTCCATAAGCTCAGAACCAAAACCCAGTAAATTCAGATATTCTAGTTTGTGTGTGTGTGTGTGTGTGTGTGTGTGTGTGTGTGTGTGTGTGTGTGTGTGCTTGCATGTGTGCATATGTGTTTATACCTGTAATGAGAATGTATATGTGTGTGAAGGTCAGAACAACCGTGGATATTGGTCCTCACTCTCTCTCTTGTTTGAGATGGGGTCTCTGTTGTTCCTTGAGGAGTGTACCAGAGATCGAGCCCGTGAGCTTCTGTGAGTTCTCTCTTCCCTAGTGTCTTGCTAACTCAGATTACACTGACTGTGTAGTCTGTGATTACAGACATGCACCACTGTGCCCTGCTTTAGGTGGGCTCTGGGGATTTGAACTCGGGTCCTCATGCTTGCTTGGCAGGTGCTTTACCCACTGAGCCATCTGTTAGTGCCCCTGGTTTAATGTTTTTAAGAAAGTGGCAAAGCCTCACCTTGATGTGAAGCCTTCTGGCTGGTTTTCACTCTCATGAACTCTGTTTACTCAGTACACATTTGTCATGACTTTTGTCCTTTATGATATTGTCTTTGAGTCTCTTTCTGTCACAAAGCAATCCAAAGTCACAAAGCAGTCCAAAGTGCTGGAATCCTGGTGATCACATGGGAAGGATCGTCCCCATGCCATCTCTGAGTCTGTGCCCATACCACACACACCAGAGAGGAGCAAAGTGCTGGGTACGACACTTAGGGCCGCATTCCCACAACTAAATACCTCACTAAATAATCTTCCCGAAAAGAAAGATGTGACACTTATGTCAGTGTGGTCCTCCATGTGGTTCTGGAAGCTTCATGAGCATTGTTCAACTTGTAATTCCTATGGGAATTATCAGAAAAATCAGAAATAAACTGCAGCTGTAGCTGTATGATCTGTATGGATAATCCAAAAAAGAGAGACACGAAGAAATCACAGCTATACCTGTGTAATCTTAGATCCATTCTAAAGTGCAGTCATTCACTTATTTGCTCCTATTACTTTCTTCTAATGTCCATTTTCCATTCTACTTCATGCAGTTTTTTACTGTCTCGTTTGATGTCTTATTACAGACAACGATACATGAGCTATGAAGAATAAAAGCGATATTCCCATTATCGTGAATAAAGGGATAGTGCTCTGCCAAGTGTTTTGATGACAATGACGTGGAATCAGGAAACTTTGCGCAGTTTAGAGATTTGACTTAAGACATGACCATTTCATTTGGTGAGAAGATCAGTGAATAAAAGAATATAAACTATAATGAGGCCTTTCCCTCTCTGTTAGAATTCTGTTCTTTCCCTGGGCCTGCAGGTTGTGGAAGTAGTTTCTCTGTCCTTCTAGAAATTATTTGTGCAAACACAAGTGTAATTATGAATTTCATTCACAAACTTAGAACCAGGAAGGCACAGCTTGCTTTATTCTTCTGTAGCCCCACTTAATCACTTTTCTTTTCACCCATTCAGCCTTAATTTTGTTCAACTCTGGCTTGCCCTCTGCCACTTGTCTAGATTGTAGCTAAGTCTCAGGAGTCACATTAGTGCAATGGCACATGATAAGTAGGGATGCCCCTGGTGCCCAGACATGTTTCTGTAGATGCCCTCCAAGTCCTCCATGACCAGCTCTAGTCCTTGATGACTCTATACTCACAGAGAGCTTTCTTCCTGTCCTAATCGCTCCTCCAGGACAGTTGCTGCTTCTGTTCCTGTATAAGGGCTTAGGAGCTGCTCTTTGTTTCTTAACTAGGGAAGAGGAGGCACTATACCTCCAAGATGCCTTACTGCACTCAACTGTGCTGATGTGCAGCTTTTGTCCTTCTGCCCCCCCTGGGGTACATTGCTTCTGTGTCCCAGGACTTCCTCTGGGCCCTTTATCTCTCCCCATCCCACCTACTTCTGGTTGCTTTGTTTGAGAGTTAAATTAGGAACAAAGAGAGCAAGCAGGCAGATAGAATGGTTGCTCAGACTTGAGAGAGACCCACTCTCGCATGGCCCATATGGTGGGCCACATGCAGGCCTACTTCTGAAGGACAGCAATGCCCTCAACAATTCTCAAGTGTCACTGAACCTGAGGGGGTGACAGGGAGCCTTGATAGAGCAACAGGAGCCCATTAATGCTGCTGACGGTTCCCTGTCAGCAAGTGTGCTCAGCACAGCTGCATTGCTGGTGATAGAGGGATCACAATGCGCTCACCGTGCAGAAACAACCCTCTGAACCCTGTCCCCACAAAAGAGTGGAAATTTCATGACTAAATTTAAATCTAGAGGAAGATTAGGAACCACGACTCTGAAGGGCTGTGGATTAGCTCAGAGGTAAGACATTTACTTCGCATGCACAAGGGTTTAGATTTGAATCCCTGTATCTCCAGAAACCACTAGTATACTTTATCTCATTAACACTTGGGTAACTACTACTTCATATTGGTGTGTGTAGGGTACTTTTTTTTTCCTTTTATTTTATTTTACAATACCATTCAGTTCTACATATCAGCCACGGATTCCCTTGTTCTCCTGCCTCCTGCCCCCCTCCC